GCTGTGGTGGCACGGCTGCGGTCTGACGAAATGGAGATTCAGGCTTTACCATTGACAGACCATTATTAAAGAGAGGCAGACCACCATCAAATGACTGCAACGGACTGTCTTTTTAGGAGACAGCTTGATACGTAATACGAGTTCCAGGAACCACTTACAGTGTCAGATCTGTCTTTCTTTTGCACTTTCATGAGACTTGCCATGATATTGTCGTTCATTACTTGCACGGGATAGTCGTCATCTTCCTCTGCCTTCAATATGTCCTGCAAGTTGGAGTTCGCTTTTGTTCAGAGGAAGACGCAGATCAGAAACTCACATCTAGTCCATCAAACATCATTAATTTTCTCTTTTGTGAATTTATAGGACGAGTCCTTGGTTTGCGCGGTTTACCGACTCGAGAGCGTGCCAGCTGTATGCTTTTGCGCAAACTTTCTTTATTCTCGAATTCTGCAGTGGAAAAAAAATGGAATTCTCTGAAGCTAAATTGCCGTGATAGCCATGAAAGTCGCTGAATGCTCACCAACTCCATGACTGAGATAATCGCAAGCCTGATTGACAAGATCGCCAGCATCCAAGTCAGGATTTTCCAGTGCAGCCATGAACAATTGTGACTAAAACGATGTGTTTATTTGCGTTCAAACACACAATAAAAAGAAAATTAACTATGCTGGAAAATGAATAAACGACAAACATTGAGAGGAATCGGAAGCAGAGAGATAGATCAGCTTTGGTTTCCCTTCCTTTAGACGGCCAAGCAAAATCATAGACCCCTTTGCTCATCATTAAGGCATCGTTCAGACTTTGCAACGGCAGCGCTTCAGTCGCGCGTTCGGCGCGATCGATGCGCATGCTTTCTACTGCATCGATCGCGTCGAACGCGCGATCGAAGCGCTGTCGTCGCGAAGTCTGAACGCTGCCTAAGCGAAGGGAGGAACGCCGAAATCTAAGTATCTCATAAGAAACAATGATGAAAGTAACAAAGAAACGAGAAGGTTGAATAGGCCAATTATTTAATAACGTGTTCACGAAAAGAAGTTATCTGCTAGATAATCTTATGCTGCAACTATACGCATATACTACACAACTGTGCATTGAAAGGATATGAATATAAGGACACCAGTCCTTGGATGAGAAACGGAAGCATTGTTCTTAACTACCTCTACCATTGGGAACATCCTCGGATAATCTACTTATGTTTTTGGAGTCACTTTTGATGGAGTATCTGTAATATATAATGTTTTTCGTAAATACATTTAATTATTCTAGCTATGGTGAAGTCCTCACTATAACCATTACTGAGGAGCATTTTTACCACACCAGATCCTTACATTCTATAAACCACTAACTCTGTGTGTCGGTTTGTCGGTATGTATGTATGTATGTCTGTCCGTCCGCAAAATGCTTCACGGGATTAAACAGGTTAGTGAAAGAAGAAAACGACCGCTAGCCAATCTTGACAGCAATTGGTGCAGATGTATCAAACCGTTGTTTTGATTGCGATAACTCCACTATATAAGACAACCACTTAGTGCACTCCGAGCCATTGCACGGGCTGCTCGCGTGGCAGCTGGGTGTGGGTGCAGTGGGACAGGGTAGGGAAGGGCAGGGGCGAGGGGGCATGGGGAAGAAGGTAGGGCGAGGGAAGTGAGGTTAATGGGGAGGGGGACCTAGAGTGCGCTTCAACAGGAGCGCACCATGACGGTGGAAACAGAAGCATTAGTGAAAGCGACAAATAGAAGAAAGGAGGGATCAACCGCTAGCATTTTGCAGGGCAATCTATAATGTGCTATCAATTTGAGCAGTGGAAGACGTCAAGCACGGTTCTTCTGTTCAAGAAGGGCGAGCGCGACCTAATGAAGAACTACCGCCCCATCGCCCTCCTCTCGCAGCCATACAAGTTGTTCACGAAGGTAATCCTCAACAGGCTCGAGAAACAACTGGATGAATATCAACCAGTGGAACAGGCCGGGTTTCGCAAGGGCTTCTGTTGCATGGACCACATCCATACTGTCACGCAGTTGATCGAGCGAACCAAGGAATACAAGCAGCCGCTCCTGCCTCTGCTTCATCGACTATACGAAAGCATTCGACAGTGTGGAACTGAACTCTATTTGGAATGCGCTGCACCATGCTGGTGTCGACCCGTGCTACATAAACCTGCTGGAAAAATGCACTATGGACACATCTACCACTATCCGCATTTTTCAACGAGAGCTGCGAGTGCCGATCGAAAAAGGAGTCAGACAAGGTGATACGATTTCTCCCAAGCTGTTCACCACCGCACTCAACCACGCGATGCTGCAACTCGACTGGGACGATAAAGGCATCAACGTCGACGGAAAGAAGCTATCTAACCTACGATTCGCAGACGACATTGTCCTTATCAGTCAAACTCAGCAGAGCTACAGCGGATGGTGGAGGAACTGAACAACGTCGGCAAAGCTATTGGCCTCACGATGAACCGGAGCAAGACCGAGGTCATGCGCAATGAGTGGGCAGATGCGTCACCCATCACTCTCGAAGGCACTGCTCTACCGGATACCGACCGTTACGTTTACCTTGGTCGACTCATTTCCATGGACAACAATTTGCGCGAAGAAATTATGAGACGCAAAAAATGCGCATGGACGGCAATGGGACGCATAAGAGAGGCGGCCCAGCTCATTTCGGATAGGAAAATACGAGCTGCTCTGTTCGACTCTACAGTACTGCCCGCTCTTTGTTACGCATCCGAGACGTGGGCGGAGAACAAGGCGTCTACGCTGATGTGCTGAATATCAACCGCCGTGAGCAGAGATATTCACCCATCACACTCGTCCTATCGTCACAACACAATGACCAACAAAATAAGCAATTATAATAAGATGTTGAAGGAACTTGACATTGAAAATCGGAGCAGACAATGCTAGTGACTGTGACATAGAAGATTTGCAAGAGCATGTAAACTGCGAGCATGGGGTCACTTTGACATGCGGTGTGGATCTATTGTAAGAAGAAAGGCTCAGAAAACTGCCAAAGAAAGGGATACAATGTAGCATGGGCACTGATAAGAAGGGAAGAAGTTAAATAGATCTATGAAGATACACTTACTTACTTGGGTACTTGGACGCTCGTTCTTCGTCGCAATCTGCACAGTACAGACATGCGCTCAATGTCGGGCATCGTTGATGCCGTAGTATACGCGCAAATCTCTTGCAAATCTTCTATGTCACAGTCACTAGCATTGTCTGCTCCGATTTTCAATGTCAAGTTCCTTCAACATCTTATTATAATTGCTTATTTTGTTGGTCATTGTGTTGTTGGACTTAAAAATGGTTTAAACTGACTTCAATGTTTTGAAAGTTCTTTCAGGGTTTTTCGTTGCTGACTGTGAAATGATAAAAGTGTGGCAGTAAGCAGAGTATCAAATCCTTGCATTGCATAGGTTTGACTGTTGGGCACAGCCCGGCTTCGCCGCACCTGCCTTTCTTCTTTCGTGTGTTTGGATACTGATACCTGATTCTTCTTTTGTCTGTACAAATGACCAACGCTCTCTGACCAGTCGTATCACCCCTGCTACTTTAAACACTATTATCGTTTAACGGCGATGAGGAGCATTGATGAAGTGCACAGATGATAGAAAAGTCAGGCTTCTGTTGAGTATTCGAGTATTCGAAAGAAGATACGTGCATCGAATCCACGCCCGGCCCGCCTAACACGGGCCGCATCAAGGGAGTGGCGCGTCGGCATAACTCTCAGTGAGCCGACTGATACAAGTGCACCTGTGAAGACCGGTGGGTAAGAGTATGAATGCCCTGTTTCACACCGCAGTTCAGTCATTTTCAATCTTTAAACTCTCGGAGCGAGTGATGAAATTTTGTAGCAAGCTTCTCCCACCTCATTTACACCCACCTCTTTTGGATGCGTCTCGTCTATGAACTCTGTTTACCCTTGCTGACATTAATCCTTTCTTCCCCGTGTGTGGGCTGCCCTGGAAGCAATGAAATTTCGT